CACACACACACACACACACACACACACACACACAGATTTAATTGATTTCTTTCCCCAAATGCATTGACTGTTCTAAAATATGAGACGTCAATGTTTAAGGAGTTTAGGACACAGACACATGCTTATTCGATAACTTTATTCAGTAGCTTTATTTTTAATATTAACTGTTTTTTTCCCAAGGCAATGTTAGATGCCAGTGTTTCCTAACATATTGGCTATGCAAAGACTTGATTTCAAAAACAGGAAATATCATAGCTATTAAATTATATATTGTTATGATTTCAAATCTGTATTTAACCTCAGAACGATCTCAAAGTAAAAAGAGGTGCTAAAGTCTGATCTTTTGGTGGCTGTGCTTTAAAATTAAATTGTTATAATCTTAATTCTAGTGGATTTTTGAGGATTTTGAAAGTCTGACAGTAATCAGTGTTGAGTGCTACTGTAAGATTAAGCCTGCCTGGTTTAAATGTTTGAGTTGAAAACATTAATTAGAAATGTAGAAAAGTAATCAAAAAGTGATCCAATGTAGTCAGTTACATTACTTTAATAAAGCAATTTAAATAGTTACACTACTTATTTAATTTTAAATGGGGTAACTTGTAATCTGTAACCTATTACATTTCCAAAGTAACCTTCCCAACACTGGTGATTATTAATGCAAGTAATTATTATTACTGACAAGTGGCACTAATCTGTGTGTGGAACAGGCTTGTGCAAAAAATTGAATAAACTATTAAAATGTCAGTTCAGTTCCTGAATTTGAGGTTAAAAAAAAGTTTTAATTCAGGATGCAATTCATATTTAGGGATGATGCAAATCATCTCCAATCTTAATGATATTTTACAGAATTGGCAAATTCATATGCATTTGTATGATCACCTTTGTACATTTTAATATGTAAGGTTTAGGGGTGGACCTTAATGCTTATCTTGTTTGTTTTTTTTTATTGCATATTTCAAACATTTTTAGAACTAGGATATAAACTCAGAACTGCAAGATATAAAATCAGAATTCTGACAATTTGTCTCACAATTCTCACAATTTTTCTCAATTTCTCAAAAATGTTCTCACAAAACTTTTTCCCCTCTGAATTCTGAGTTTACATCTCGCAATTCAGTTTATTTCCCACTATAGAATATAAAATAAAAAAGGTAATTGCAAATTGAGACTTTTTAGTCTCACAATTCTGTTTATATCTTGCAAATTTGAGTTTATATCTCACAATTTATATTCTCAGAATTGTGAGAAAAAAAGACAGAACTCTGAGATATAAACTCAAAATTGTGAGGGGAAAAAGTGCACCACGTGTGTTAAATTTCTTTGGATCACAATTCAAAAAATTCCTCTCCCTGTCATTCCAAAATCTTCCAAAACTTCCTGTAGGGTGTGGCCAATATATCATTCAAATCACATTTATAAATGAAAAGACGTCAAATTTTTTTACTTTTGCACAACCCTGTGGAAGTCTACACTACCTAAACTAATCCTAACCATGCAAACCCAGCCATATTGAAGAAGAAGACTGAAAGATTTAATGCTGAAATATTTTATATTTAAATATATATATACAAATGAAAAGAAAAACACAACAAAATTACAAAAATTGTAACTAAAATTAAAATTTATAAAAAAAACAAATAATTCAAGAGATTAAAATAATAATAATAATAAAAAGTTGTATCTCAGTGACTTAAAAGAAAACACCTTTGAACAACCCTCTTTTAAAGCCGGGACTATTACAGTAACATGAAACATTTTGGCCACATACATAAGCTTCCACAACCACAAATTAAGAATGAGCACACCAATATACCATCTCAGCACTGCACACGGCTATATGATGAGTAGGACTGCATCCTATCGGTTAGGCGGTTTGCCATGTGAGTGCGGAAAACTTGGGTGTTGACTGCACAACCCTTCCCTCGAGCACACCCTGCCTAAGCCAGCCTGGCACTCCCAATCTCTCTGATTTCACCATGAGTCATACAGTTATTGTGCACAGATGGCAAGCGTGTGCATGCAGCGTCTACAGATACAGACCTGTGACTGTTTACCATCCAAACTCAGGGGAGTTTCCTGCACAACTGGTTTTCTGTGCTCTGTATTCTCATTCTCCATCCAAGAACACCATTAGACAAAACTGACACACACACTACAAAAATAGCCAAACATTCATAAAAGAAGATAAAAACTGTGTGTAAGTACAAAAATATCCAAACATTCATAAAAGAAGATAAAAACTGTGTGTAAGAATTAAGACTTTTTCAGAGAATATATCTTGAAGTTAATTCTCTTACCCCATTGACAAAGTGCTGTTTTAAGTTTAAACCTCACTAAATGGTATTAGATTTAGCACAAAACAGTACTGGTAATAAAAATAAAAATAAGATACATTTTCTTAAAATATAAGTCTTGTTGTCTTACATAAGTCTTACAAAAGTCTTGTTATCTTACATAAGTAATTGTGCCTCGTTTTAAGAATTTGCTGATTTTTACAAAAACATAAATAAATAAATAAATAAAGCTTGTTTTATTATTTTATTACACTGCATTTTTTTCTCAAAGTTGTAAATAAAACAAACATTATTGGAGCACATTTTACAAGAAAAATACTATTTCAGTCTTTCTACTTTAAAAATTCACATTTAAATCAATTACCGGTACTCTGTAATTAATTGTGAAATTTACTAGCAATTTCTGAGTGAAATTTGTATTTCTTTTTATTATTTAACAATGCCAGTAAGAAAAATAATTATAGATATATTTTCTTTAAAATGTCTTAGTATCTTACATAATTGTGCTTCTCAAATGAATGTATCTTCTTCTCTTTTTTTTTTTTTTTTTTTTTAGAAATTTAAGATTTATTTATTGAAACGCAAATAAAACATTTTCTTTTTTTTTTCTTTTTTTTAGTAAAATTTTAGTTAAATGAAAAGATTATTGTAGTAATTATTTTATGAGAAAATACTATTTCTGTCTTGCTACGTTAAAATTTAGCATTTCATTTATGGTGCTCCTTGCTGTTTCTTTGTAATTAATTGTAAAATTTACTAGGAACTTCTGAGTGAAATTTTATTTCTACCCAGTTTTTTTTTTTTTTTTTTCTCAGTGTACAAGATCCAATGTACTGTATGTAATCATAATTGAATCCATTTCTATGCTTTCACGTGAATGTTTCTAGAGAATGTTTGACCAAGTATATGTCATGGAATCTCTCTCTTTCTTTTTTCCTCTCATTCAGTGTCTTTGTTCAGCAGTTGTGTCTGAGAAACAGATTTATGGTGGCTCAGACAGTGCAGGCTTCATCTGAATGGAGCTCACATTCAAGATATTCTCTAAATGTGTGCAAATGGCGAAGACGTGCTATTGAGAGCCTCTCTAAAGGGCCTCTGTAACCACCCTTGAAATTTCTTAACCCTCATATTCTACCCCAAGGCCCTTTTAACATCTCTAAAACCATATTTAATGCTGAAGTATACTTAACGACATGATGATTTACCTTTGATTTATTGTATTTTTCAAATTGAGACAAAGTCAGCAAAGTGAACAATTAAGTGAGAGAAACTGAGTGGGAGTGAGTAAGTGTAAGAGATAGATTGACAGAAGGAAAGAATAAACAGCTAAAGTTGTCTCGCCCAATCTCTTTTTTTCCCCACTCTTTGCTTACAACTCCTTCAACGCAAGCAGCCGTACCATGACTTCACCTTTCCTTAAAACGCTATCTCTTTTCCACTGAAGTGCTTATAATAATTGCATATGAAACTCATAGGCAAAACTATTGATCAAAACTATTTTCAGAAATAATTTAGCGTACAATCACATGTCCATCACGAATAAAAGACACTAGAAAACTATATCTGCTGATTAGTTGTTTAGTTGGGCAAACCCTCAGACGTGTTTCGGTTAAGTCGTTTTAAGTATGAACAACTTTTAACAAGGTGTGAGCTTCTGAGGAATCAATTTATTCTAGATGGGATTAATAGTAATTCTTAAGAAGAGCATCTACAAAAAGCATTGCTTCTGATCTGCTAATGAAGTTCATCTCTGGACCAGTGCAATAGCTTTTTACCAAAACATGATTGCTCTAAGGTTTTTGTGTGATTTAAAAATGAATGATCTCAGAATGATTTTAGGATGCATTATCGCCATTAAACAAGCATAAAAGTGATGTTGTCAAAATAATACAACATCATACTGTCAGTGAGTAATAGAAGCATGCATGTGTCATGAACATACTGTATGTGCAAACTGTGACTTTAATAGCGATACTACGTGTTTTTTTAGTATGTCAAACAAACAAACAAACAAACAAACAGAGTAACTGTTCATTTTCAGTGTCATTTTTAAATTTCCCCATGAAAACGTATTTTTGGCCTTTTGACACAGACCTGTGTTTTCCAGCTTCTTGATTAACAAATGTTGCAAACAAAATGTTTATGTATAGTATATACTATGTGTTTCTACATTTATTTAGGGTTTTATATACATAGATTATTTAAGGCTTTATACATACTTACATAAACACATTGAAACCCTTATTAACCCTTATTATGCAAAAGCCCATAAATAAAAAAAGTGAACTTTTCAAAACAAGTACATTTTTCCTCTTTTATCACTTTATTTTATATTTTGTTTTCGTTTATTCTTTATGTCCGTCAGTATGAAATGGTCAACCCTGAAACTTACCATGTGATTATTGAAAACATGATATTTGTAGAAATATCAGCATTAGATTCACCTTCTAATTCACTCTCTACTAAAACATTATTGTGAAATCATACAACTATCAACACTTTCACCTGTTACTTTTTAAAGGATAGCTATAGTCCAAGTTAAAATATATATTAAAATGTAACTCGAGATGGCACAATGCAATTTATTAACACTTGGAAACATTCTTTGTCTGACATAATATTTAAAATGTTACAGATAAAAATAATTTTATTATTAATTATAAATTTAAATAACTTTAATCTTTTAACCCGCAAGGTGAGGGTGTGGGAGAAACAATGAATAAGGAGTTTCTCTAAAGCGCTCCGAATCGATCTCATTGGCATTATCGCGCATCAAACAGCACCGGGACGCACATCTGCCGTTGCGGGATCTATTAAAACTTTTCCATAAGCAGCTGGTGACAGCAGCGGATCTCAGGTGATCAGGAAATACCGTGTGTTCGTCCGGCCATGGCCCGGCGTATGTCGCCTGCTGTTGCTTTTCTGTTTTGTTTCGGATTATCGGTAAGTTTGTCGTGTTTTTAAATCTTTCTGTTAGTAGATACCCACCTACTCCAATTTAGTCTTTCTGTCTGGCAAAGTATCGTTTTGTAAACCGAAACAATCGTTATCTGTCTCTCATAAAACTGAATCTTCTTTTGTTTATTTAGCACTCTCAATGTGTAAAGCAACAATATTTATGTTTATAAAGTTAATGTGAAAAAGTCATGCATTGTCTTTAACCCTTAGATCAACTTCCAACCCTTTACAGAAATTTACCACGGCAACTAAATGTAAAATAAAGGGCATGGTCAAATATTTTACATTATGCAACTTTTGTCCCTCTATTCAACTTTTAACAATCATTTCTGTCAAAGGTGATTTTAGTTTCCAAAGGTTCAGTTCGGGTTTTTAATAAGTGGTTAAATTCAAAGCAGTGAATAAAATGCAATGAAATTCTCAGTGCAGGTTGTCACTTTGATTTTAGGCATCAAATTAAGGCAACAATAAGTTTTAGTGGGTTAAAATCAGGATTTTTGAGGCCGATCGCCAATCACAGAAAGCAGTATCTGCAGATACCGATCTTTTTAAAGCCTTCTTTTTATAATTTCCATATCATTGGAATATACCAAATTATCATTCCACTCCAATCAGGATTTTTAGGGTCTGAATTTCATTTTTTTTAAAATGCTTTTTCAGCATTGCAATTCTTTTTTTCTTTTTTTGTACACAGTACAGTTATACAATTACTGACATGTTTAAACACAATAAATATAAGCAACACATTATTCAATGCTTTTTACTTTTGCATTTACTTTTGCCACTTGCTTAAGCAACTTAATATATAAATATAGATTTATATATTAAGTTGCTTAAGCAAGTGGCAAAACATTTAAACTACTTTTCTTAAGTTATCACAAACTTACCACTGACAGAAATGGTCAGCTCTACTGCCTTTTCTTTTGCATTGAAATCTTTATTACAAGCAATCATGCAGTTCATAAAGAACTTTGTTTTCCTACCTCCACGAGTGCCATCTATTATTGCCCTCTTTATCTAAAAGTGCTCTTTCCCTTTAAACCTAGCCAAAAAGCCATATGTGTTGACTGTGAAACAGTAGAGTTTAATAATATGCATTTATGGTGTAATTACTAAAGTTTCGTGTCAATCCATGTTCATATTTACTGCAAACAATGCAGTAAATTCGTTTAATTCAGTGCTTTCAGTGCAGCAAAAATAGACTCGGTGCAGAAACGATCTCTGCACTGCTGCAGACGCACCGCTCCTGAACGCACTGCTGGACCGCAACCGTGCGCAGTGTGAACGCTTTATTAATCCGTTAACATGAGCACGGAAAAAATACGCACAAACGAAGTAATGTGAACCTGGCATTATGTGTGTGCGTTGCGAGTGTGCGTAAGCGCACGGTCTTCAGGAGAGCGCGCGAGCGCTGAATGGTTAAACACTGGCAAGAATTAAAAAGTAACGCAATTTATAAACTTTAGTGACGATGTGACACTGCCTCGACTGTGCAAGTGACAATTCCTGTGTCAATTGTGCAGCGTGCAGCTCGCTTATAGACAGACGCGATGTGGTGATTTGAAGCCATTTGCGTATTTTGAGAGAGAAAGAGAGAGCGCGCGCGGTGATTCACTCATGCTGTTTGTGAAATTACGTCTCACACAAGGTTTTCAAATTACTTTATAAGTTATTTAATGAAGAAATATGAAGGTGAGTACCTCACCTTCAGCATTATAATTATTTTACCCGCACCAGACAGAGACAGACGGTGCCGCTTCATGTCGTGCCAAACCTCTAACGGCTGCGTCATCAGTTTGAGATCGTTTTTTTTAGATCGGCCTCTTTAGAGACCTCATCCCAACGTGATTATCGGCCGATAATGATCGGTAGCCGATCAATCGGAGCACCCCTAATATTTATTATATTATATACTACAATGAAACCATGATACGAAATTAACCACCATTGCTAATGGTCAATAACTAGACAAATATTAAATAAAATCTTAAAGTAAAATCTTTTTTTTTTTTTTTACATCGGTATGGAGATACCCAACTGTCTTATTATAGGTTTACCATAATAACGGCACCATAGTAATTGTATTGTAGTATTTTGTTGGGAACTTCCAAGTTCCACTATTTAACATGGTGTATTTTTGTAAAGGGCATTTCAGTACAAGCTCTGTCTAGTATACAGACACACAAATTACAGCAGTCAAGCTGGATCTGCAAGTAGTATTCACTTAGGAGTGTTGAAATTCCCTCCCCCTGGCACCTTAATGATTTACATTTCTCAGTAATACTTACTCAAATTCTAATGAAGATGAGTTTGATTTACTGAACAACAGTTGAGTAAAATGGTTACTAAATGAGTGCAATCTACTAAATGAGTGAAAATCACTTCACCTGGTACTTGACACTGGAGAATCTCAGTGAAGGATGATTTTACTGCTTTTATCAGTATGTGCTAGGTAGATATGCAAAGAGCACAGTCTTGGTTGTTTTGGCTTTCGTTTTTAATATTTTGCATACCCATTATGCCCATACATGTGTCATACACTGTGTGTGTACGAGAGAGTGCTTTTGGTGTAAAACATCTCTCATTTGGGTTAAAATTACATTTTATTGCTGAGTTTTTAGCCCTTCATATTTCCATGTCACAAATGTAAAGGTTCTACTTATTCATATGACAATCATTAGGCCTTCAGTTTACATAAAACAACCTAATGCATGTACCAAACCTTATGTAATTACTACACAATATGTGATGTCTCCATGTATCACTATTAACACTTAGTAACCATTGAAACTTTGCACAGTACAATTCAGAAATGCACAGTTGAGGAAAGTAAAGAAAACCCCTTACTAAGACATTACATTTTATATTTGAGATAGTGCAGCGTTTTCTGCCACTGTGTGCATATGCTTTATCTTAGGTGTGTGTGGTCTGATTAAGGTGATCTCGACTTAAGTGGAATGCATTTCGCTTTTGCCAAGTATTTCTTCATCTTATCTTCCTTAATTAGACGTCTGCTGAAGTGAAATAAATTAATGACTCCTGTGAAGTGTTTTCTTTCCCCCCGTGTTTGCAAATCTTTTCAGGTTTATTATATCTCTTTCAACTCATTTCATACAAATTATGGCATCTGTTTAATTTTGTCTGTGTACAGACAGGATGAGCTTAGTGTCAAACAATGCATGCGTGCAAGTTGCAACCACAGTGTTTCGATCATTTATAATGACTCACTAGTGAATCATTTACAAAAGCCGCAAATGAGAACATTCTCACCAGACAGGGCAGCAAATATAAAAACAAATATTTCTCTGTCTTTGTCTTTTCTGCTGTGTGTGAGAAGGTTGGCGGGATAAGTCTGTCTTCACAAATTGTTGTTGTGCATTTCTGTTTTCCCACAGCATGTGTTTGAGGTTGAAGCCAGATTCCAGAACTCTGTGGCCCTCCACAGGCAGAAGAGAGAATGGATCGTCCCTCCCCAAATCTTAGAGGAGAATGTGGATTACACCAAGAGAGAGTTCATTGCAAAAGTGAGTAAGACTTTTTCTGCATTAAACATTAATATGCTGATATCAACATTAATGTACAATCAATGTGCAAAAATGACACGTAAATAAATTAGTCACAAGGCATCAGCTTTTTCACCATGGGGGAGTTGAAAAGGGAAAAATAAGATGTGATCTAATTGCAAATTATATTATAGGAATAGCTCACGCAAAAGTGAAAAGTTGCTGAAAATGTACTCACCCTCAGGCCATCCAAGATGTAGATTCAATTGTTTTGTCATCGGAACACAATTGGAGTAATTTATCATTACATCACTTGCTCATGAGATCAATGAGAGTCCAAACAGCTGATAAAAACATCACAATAATCCACATTACTCCAATGAATTGTGTGTTTGTAATGTGTATGTAATAAATATATGAAGATGTTTTTGGCTAAAATACAGGCTCTCTAACCATAATATTGCTGTCTCCAGTGAAAAAGTTGTCTCTTCTGAATCAGGAGAGAACTATGCACTGATCAAAACAGTTCTAAACAAATATGTTGGTGAATTTTAATATGAGAGGACAACAGGAGATGGATTTTTCATTGGAGGAAGCATTATTATGGATTATAGTATTTTCGCCAGAAGCAACAGTTTAAACTTAAAAGGCCTTAATAATGGATTTGCTTCTTACAAACAATTAACTTTTCTCTTCACAATTGATTAATTGATGGACTGGAGTGGTGTGGATTACTTGTGGATCATTGTGATGTTTTTATCAGCTGTTTGGACTCTCATTCTGACGGCACCCATTCACTGTAGAGTCATCTATTGCTGAGCAACTCATTAGATCATCTTTGAGAGTACATTTTGAGAAAATGTTCATTTTGGGGGAGCTATTCCTTTAATTCCATTAATGGTATGCACAAAAATTACACATGAAAATTGCAATTTTAGCTTCTTGTCATTCAAACGTTGTATATAAAAACTGATGTTTGCAGTATCATTATTGGTGCACACGTAAGAGTATTTGATGAAGTCACTACTTCACATGTGTGATATACAGTGAAACAATATCATTAACAAATCCAAGTATTTAAGATTTGCAATGCTTAATGTGTCAGGCCACTGTGGCTTGATTGTTTTTTTTGGGGGGGTTAAATAAATGTGTTTCTGATTTATTTAGATTCGCTCAGACAAGGAAGACGTCAAAATGAGAAATGTGAGGTACTCACTGAAGGGCATCGGTGCAGACCAAGAGCCGTTCAATTTATTTGTGGTGAATCCTGAAAATGGATATGTAACGATAACGAGGTTCCTTGACAGAGAGTCCATCGCACAATACAATGTAAGTGAAATGGCCATGATGACAATGATGATTCGTGATGATGATGATGAAGGTGGCTTTAACACCTACACTTGATTATGAGGGGTGGTGATCTTAAATTTATTTCTTCACCTCTGTAGCTTTCAGGTGTTGCTACATTCACAGATGGCACAATTGCAGAGAATGACATTGGGTTGAGAATAAAAGTGAAGGATCAGAATGATAATCCGCCTGTTTTCGGTCCAATGGTACCTGGCGATGTAAACGAGCTCAGTCTAGTAGGTATGTGAACTGCAGTTGTTACAGGTGTTTAAAAAAAAAGTGACTTGAAGTTTGAACAATAAACATAATGGAGATTAATAATTATCAAATTCTGCATGTGGGTTATTGACTCAAACCAAAACCTTTTTTTTTTTTTTTCTGGATCTTTTAATTAATCTGTTAATTTAAAATGTATTCATAATTTGAATACTGAATACATACTTTTCTGTATTAAAATTAATTTCTCTTTTATGAAGTAGTTTTGCAAGATATGTTATTATTATTTAACAGGAATTTAAGAGGAAATTAATTATTATAAGGGGGAAAAAATCAGCTGCACTTCTTATTAATATTTGGTCATATAAGTTTAGTTGTAAAATGTCATGTGGTGCAACTCCCCAAAAATGTAATGATATTTTTGAATTATTCATTTAAGATATTTGAGGGGAAAAAAAGAATCTTGAAATAAACACTACACTTCAAAAATCTGGGGTCTGTAAGTCTTTTAAATGTTTTTGAAAGAAGTGTCTTATGCTCACCAATGCTGCATTTATTTGATTAAAAAAATATCTATAAACAGTAATATTGTGAAAATATTATTACAATTTAAAATAACTGTCAATTTTTCAATTTGAATATTTTTCCAATGTAATTTATTCCTGTGATGGCAAAGCTGAATTTTCAGCAGCTTACTCCTCTTCAGGGTCACATGATTTTTTTCAGAAATCATTCTAATATGCTGATTTGCTGCTCAAGAAATATTTCTTATTATTACCATTTCTGAAAACAGTTGTACTGCTTAATATTTTTGTGTAAAAAAAAAATGCAGGGTTCTTTAATGAAGTTAAAGAACAACATTTATTTGAAATAGAATTATTTTGTAAAATTGTAAATGTCTTTACTGTCTCTTTTGGTCAATTTAATGCATTTTTGCAGTATAAACTTATTCAGTATACACAGTAGTAGTGTATAATTAAAAATTTTTTTTTTTAAATGATAAAAATGTTTTACTTGAAGGTTACACCTCTTGATATGTATACAGGATAAAATGGTATGAAGGTTTTTAAAACTTTATGAAGCCAACATGAATACAAAGAGTACATTAAACTAGATTTTTCGAAGGATTTGTTCTTTTCATTTATCGCGGGCACTCTTATTTTATACAGATACAGCAGTGATGAAGATTAATTGCTTTGATGCTGATGAGGTAGGAAACCCAAACTCTCAAATCAAGTATGAGATTGTTGAGCAGCAGCCAGCTGGGGCGCAAATGTTCAGAGTTGATGCTGACGGGACAGTCCGTGTTAACAATCCTAAACTGGATAGAGAGGTGAGAGGTCACCATCACTGTATCAAATGTGTACCTGATATCCAACATGCTTACATAACACACATAAACTCCATGTGTTTGCACTGGCTCAACTTCATTGACAGCATTTGTAAGCTTCAGTGTCAGTGCCAGATGTTCTCTTATTGTTTCAGTTTAAATGAGTAATGCAGGAACATATAAAGACACAATAACCGCTTTTGCTGAGCATATTGAACAGCATGTAAATGATTCCACCTGTTTATTTACACGCCATCTCTCTCTTCAGACTATTGATCAGTATGTCCTGCTTGTCAAAGCATCTGACCTGAACGGAGCCCCAGGCGGCAATGCCGCCACAGGAACAGTCACCATCAAGATCAATGATGTCAACGATAATGTGCCTACATTGCAAGGCCCAGTAAGAAAATATCTACACTATGTTTACATCCACACAGTTTTAATGTTGTTGTAGTGGTCCCTGCAATTTTTGCAACTTATTTTTTCGTTCTCCATAGTTTGAGGCTAGTATTGAGGAAAATACAGATAAAGTAGAGGTGATGAGACTTAAAGCAAGTGACCTGGATCTTAAGGACACGGACAACTGGGTGACTAAGTGCTTTATTGCATCAGGCAATGAGGCTGGATACTTCAGCATTCACACGGACCCAAAGACCAATGAGGCAGTCATTATGCTTGACAAGGTGTGCAATGATATTTGTTGGTTATTTTTCTCTCATAATTTCTAGGATAGTTGTGAGTAGGTTTTTTTGTGATACCAAAATGTAAGTATTCATACCAATATTGGTCAGATTTCACAATTCTCAATACCAATTTTGACACCACAGGAAAAACTAATTCAATTTAGTAAACAAGTAATTATTTTAAGTAATTATTCAAGTAAGCAGTCAATAATAAAGGAATAATGTAAATGCAGTTTTTCTTTTTAGTATTGTTGTTTGATTAATATTATTGACATAATAGACAGTAATATTGTGAAATAGTATTACACTTTAAAATAACTGCTTTCTTTTTAATACATTTTCAAATGTAATTTATTTTTATGATGGCACAGCTGAATTTTCAGCAGCCATTTGAAATAGAAATCTTGTAATGTTATACATGTCTTTACTCTCACTTTTTATTCATTTAATGCAGGGGTGTCCAAACTCGGTCCTGGAGGGCCGGTGTCCTGAAGAGTTTAGCTCTAATCCCAATTAAACACACCTGAACCAGCTAATCAAGCTCTTACTAGGCATACTAGAAACTTAAAGGCAGGTGTGTTGAGGCAAGTTGGAGCTAAACTCTGCAGGACACCGGCCCTCCAGGACCGAGTTTGGGCAGCCCTGATTTAATGCATCCTTGCCAAGTAAAAGTATTAACTTTAAAAATACTTCCCCCAAACTTTTAAATAGGAGTGTACTTTGATTATTCATCAAAACGTATTCTATTAACATTCACATGATACATAATTTACTGTGTTTACATTAATACATTGCAAAGATTTTGATGACACGTGCAGAAGAGTGCAGTTTTACCATCGAAAACAGTTAGTCAGACAGCACTTGGGTAATAAATGGAATCAGTACTTGGTTATATTGATACAGAAGAAAGGCTAGTATTGTTACCTTTGTTATAGTATCAACTTTCTTTAAAAGTACTGGTACTTTTGACATTGTTACTTATAGCATGTAACTGAAGCAGATTATACTCTCAGCCATTTGCTTGAAAAAAGTATATCATGTCTGTTTTCCCTGCAGGCTGTTGATTATGAGGATGTCAAAGACCTGAACCTTGGCATTGGTGTAATGAACAATGCTCCATTCCACCCCTCTGTGACTGGAGGACAAGAAGGAATAAACATAAACTTCGGTGGCAGCGGTGATGGCGCAGGAGGAGGCGGCGGCGGCGGCGGCGGTGGTGGTGGTGGTGGTGGTGTCGGTGGAGGCGGTGGAGCTGGCGGCGGTGGTGGCGGCAGTGCAGGCGGTTCATGGTCGATGTCAGGGAGTCAGATATACAATGTGAACGTAAAGGTGAAAAACCAGCCAGAAGGACCCAAGTTCATGCCCCTAACAAAAGCCATTGCCATCTCAGAAGGCAAGACTTTTAACAGCAATGAGGTCATCGCAAGGTACCCGGCCACTGACACAGACACGGGAAAGGAAGCTACCAACGTGAAGTATGTTTACATAGAAATAGTTCTGTCAACAACTAAGCATATAAAAGAAAAAGAAATGAGCTTGAACCAACTATGTTCCCTTTTCTTATAGGTATGTTAAAGGATTTGACCCAGATAACTGGCTGACCATCGATGAGACAACTGGGGCCGTTAGAATGAACAAGGCTCCTGACCGCGAGTCCAAGTATCTAGTTAACGGCACTTACTACGCCCAGATTTACAGCATAACTCAAGGCAAGTTCCAGGCAGGATTATTAACTAAAACTAAAACCTTAAATGGCTAGTTGATAATTCTGTCATCATTTACTCAAGTTGTTCCAAACCTGTACGAGTTTCTTCTGTTGAACACAAAAGAAGATGTCTTGAAAAATGTTGGTAACCAAACAGTTGCTGGTAGCCAATTGACTTCCATATTATTTTCTTTCCATATTATGGAAGTCAGTGACTACCAGCAACTGTTTGGTTACCAACAGTATAAATATAACTGAAACTTATTTTGTTTCAACTCGTTGTCAAGGCAACATTTCTCATTTTCATTTAGTTTAATTTGAAGTACTAAAATAACTGAAACTAAAACTAAAAACTATGTAGACATTAATTAAGAATTTTTTAAAAAGTGATAAAAATGACAAACACAACAAAATTACTAAAACTATAACTAAAATAGTATATAAATGATACTAAAATAACACTGGTTCCAGGTAAAAGGGAAAACATTTCTTTCTTTGTTGGTTTATTTATCCAACTGTTCTATTTTTTTCTGAACTGTTGCCATATGTTGCCAGGTTATTGTTCACTGCCATAATATATGATAATATTCTTCATTAACTTATAGACCAATCATAATTCCAGTGTGCTGCATTTTACAATAAAATGGACATTGCAGGTATATAACCTGTCCTGAAGATGGCGCCTTCTTCACATTGATCAATAATAGTTACTGAAAACCGGGTCAATGTTTGGATACTTAACCATTTGCAAGTTATGTTGTAAAAATGATTTGATTTCATTCACTTATACCATTTATTTACAATGCATTCTCTTTTTCTATATTTTTCTTTTAGTATTTTTTTAAACTAAGGGAAAGTAGCCCGAAAGCATTCTTTTATTTTACTTTTCGACACTTCAGTTTTTATTATATAACAGTATTATAACATTTGTCTCACATTTATGTTTGTGTATTGTATGCAAAATAATATATTATTTTTTAAAATATGTTTTTCCTTTTTTCTTATAGACTTGCCTTCAAAGACGGCAACAGGCACCATTGCCATCCAGGTAGAGGATTTTAATGATCACTGCCCAACTTTGGCAAGCAAAGTCAAGACACTTTGTACTGAAAAGGATGCCGTCTTAGTCACTGCAGTGGATGAGGATGCGCCACCCAATGGAGCTCCATTCACCTTCAATGTTGTCCCAGAAGGAACTAACGGGAAATGGACAGTCGAGCATTTCAACGGTATGTGTGTCAGTTGGGAACACAATATATATATATAAAGTACTAGTCAGAGATCTGTTAATCAGGATGTCACTACTGACTCTGTGGTTGAGATCGTCTGTTTTTCTTCTTATCAGATACCACTGCCATCTTCAGAACCCATCAAAAGCTGTGGCCAGGAGAATACGAGCTGACGGTGGACGTCAAGGACCAGCAGGGATTGTCATGTCCAGAACCTCAGAAAATTCAGGTGGATGTGTGCACCTGTACCGACCAGGGAGCTTGTGCCCGAACAGGAGCACATGGAGGAAAAGGAGCATTTAAGAAGGGATCCAGGTTTGGACCTGCTGGAATCGGCCTTCTCTTCCTTGGACTCCTTTCATTATTGCGTAAGTTCACACCAGTATCTTAACAAAGTCTACCATGTAAATCTGTCTTTCTGACATTGCCTCATTTCTATTTATGCCGCATTTAAAGCTGAAGCATGCTGTTTCTGCAGGACTAATGAAATGACAAAAATAAAGCATATGTTCAGGAGCAGGTGTAAAGATTGACAGTTAAGACCTAGCTTACCTGTCGAGAAGAAACTCCACAAGTTTGGCGTCTCGATTGAAACCCAAACATTCCACCAATTCATTCCTCCATCTTATTGCCACTGCCAATGTTTACCCTTGTCTGTCTCTTCGAATTTTGGCCTGCACTTCTGTAACCAAATATGAAGTTATTTTTCCATGTGATGTGTCAGCCTTAGTCCCACACTGGCTAAAATACAGTAGCCACACCCCAGTCTCTCACTATAGGTTGAGCTGGAAACAGATTGATGGATCTGAGCAAACTGCTCTACATTTTTTTTGCCTGGGAGGCTCAATCTTTACACTTCTAGGGAAGAAAAACCCATGAATGGCACACTAATAGTACAATAAATTAGGTTAAGAGAATGTATTTTGAACTTCACCTTGAACTTTCTTGTGCCTGATCCTGCTCTCCAAACAACTTCATTGGATAGGTTACCCAAAAATAAAAAATCTGTCATCATTTACTCACCTATTCTGCAGAACACAAAAGAAGATATTTTAAAGAATGATTTTATTCACACAATGAATGTCGGTAGGGTCCAAAACAACATTGCGTTACACAGAAGAAATTAAGATTTGGAACAACATGATGACCGAATTTTCATTTTTGGGGTGGACTTAGCCTATTAAGCAGAATACCAGACAGAGCATGATTGATAGTTGTTATTATTATGTGAAAAATAAATGCTATATTTCTCCTCTGTTACAGTCATCCCACTCCTGTTGCTGCTGTGTCAGTGTGGAGCTGCTGGGCTGGCGGGAGATTTCACAGACATGCCCTATGACACTAAAGAGCATCTCATCTCTTACCATACCGAGGGCCAGGGAGAGGACAGGGTAAGATCTTGAACTTCTGATTGATTTGCAATGCATGTTATCAGGAACAAAATCTGATTAAGATGTTATTTCTGTTATAAAGCTAAATAAATCAAACCCTTTTTTTCTCTGATAGGATGTTCCACTACTCAATGTTGTTGATCGAAGGCCGAATTTTATGTCGAGAGACGTTGTGGGTGATATGTACTTCACAGGAGGAGCAGGAGGAGTAGGAGGAGCAGGAGGAGTAGGA